TACATTTGTTTAAGCAACTCTTACGAATTGACAATCTCGACAAAACGCTACACTCATTTTTTCACGAGTGAAATCTTATTGGTATGGCTTCAACATCGTCAGTTTTTTTCTTCGAAGCCGCTTTGCCTCGCCGGCCGAGTCGCTATAGTCACCGGATCATCACGAGGAATAGGCCGTGCCATAGCCATCCACCTAGCCGAGCTTGGAGCTAGGAGCGTCATTAATTACTCTACTAATTAACTCCGCCGAGGCCGACAAAGTTGCGACGGCGATTACCGGAAAAGGTTCACGTGTCATCGTCGTAAAGGGCGATATCTCGGAGGCAAACCAGGTGAAGTCGCTTTTCGATGAGGCGGAGCGAGTCTTCGAGTCGCTGGTTCATATTCTGGTTAACTCAGCCGCTATTGCCGATCCTAACAATTCGAGTATCTCAAACACATCAGAAGAACTCTTTGATCGCATTTTCAGGTCAATTAATATCTAAATTAGTACAATATGGTTTAACATTTAAGCTGAGTTCGATTTATTGTTCAACAACATTACGATGTTACTATGCCAACAATTATGCATAGATAATCACACAAAAATAAGTGACACAAATGAAAGGAACTTATTATTTTTATTTAGATATTATATAAGTTTAAGTTTGTTTAACTTAATTATTCTTATAACACATTCCGCATTGTTTCGGACCCGTTATTGTTTAATTTTTTTTTTATAATAGTGTCAACACAAGAGGTGCATTTTTGTGCGCTAGAGAAGCAGCCAACAGGCTAAAACGGTGGTGGCAGGATAATCCTCCTCTCATCTTCTTTGGTTCAATCCTTAAAACCATCCTATGGCTCATACACGGCTTCAAAAGCAGCCATAGAAGCGATGGCCAAGATTCTTGCAAAAGAGCTTAAAGGAACACAAATTACAGTAAATTGTGTTTCTCCAGGACCCGTAGCCACTGAAATGTTTTTCGCAGGATTAGGCATGGGCACAAACCGAGTATCTGCTAATTTTCAAGTACTTGTGACTCGATTTGGCTTGTTCAAGTAACAAAAATTCTGGCTTGATACTTGACTCGTTCGAATCAAGTAATTGCTCAATCAAGTACTCATCCAAAATCATGTGACTTGCAAGTAACTTGACTCGGCTTGTTACTTGCCAAAATCATATACTTGTTACTTGAAAGTACTTGAAAATAAAAAGAATTTTTATACAAATTACAAAACATTCAAAGTTCTTACAAAACATAACATCCTAAAATCACAAAACATTAAAGTTTCAAAAGATAATTTGCCCATAGCTTCATGTATTAACAAGTAATTATTAACAAATATCAAGGCAAGTAATGTAAACAAATATCAAGCCGAGTGATCAAGTAGTAAAAAAAATTTGTTGGCTTGATACTTGACTCGGACTTGCAAGTAATAAAATATGTTGACCTGTTACTCGACTTGACCGGGACAAGTACTTGCTTTTTTAAGC